TTACAGGGCCCTGTTTCCTTTGTCCGACTTCGGAGACCCTGGCCACGCACATAAACCATACGGCTCCGATTTCGGAGTTCCTGGCTGGTAGTGGTTAATAGCTTGCAGTTGGATGGTTTGTGATAGACTTGTGATGGACTTGGTACAGCACTGACACAAAAAACAATTTTCAGTGAGGCTTTGACAAAACATTCACTAGTATTAACCACTTGCTGCTGGGGAATCCTGTTTCGAGCACCATGGGTTTATACTCAGAGCTGGGGTGCCCAAAATGGGACAAAAAAGCTGGTCCGTGTAACAAAAGACTGTACTCGGAACAAAAGACCTGCTGCTGAGAATTGCCATCATTTTTCGGCTTGCATTTTTCAAAGGTAATCTATCACTGTTTTTAAACAGTATACCACTATTTTGGGAAAAGCGTGCCCGCAGATTAGCACCGCGGACAAAAGGGCCCCATTGATGAGCGACACAGCACCGCTGCATGCTAATCCAGCCATGTTTGAAAAGACACCACTCACATTCACTGGGGACAAAGGAAATTATGCAACACCTCACAATTCTGGGCTCTCTTTACAAGGTGGGAGGCCTGGCTGAAATATTCAGGAGTCAATGAAGGTGACCTGTTGGTTTAGAGTAGTCACCAGTCATTCATGTGGGGGTAACATCCATTAAATGAAATGATGGATTTTTGAAGAATTTTGAAAACTGAAAATCTCCTGTATGTGTACATACATAAAAGCACCCGGCAGCGTGTGGTTAAAAAGAAATATATCCCACTGTAACAGGTGAATTTGGTCTCCCTTGCAATTCACAAACACTGCAAAATGATACATGCTTCCATTTGAAATGACAAGTTTTAATACTCTGCATTCGAAGGTTAATACACAAATGAAAAAAAACTGGCATAAGAGTTGTTTGTTAAGATAATTTTTTTCTCATTTGATTTTGTTTTTATAAACACACATAAGGGAAACTAGTTGCCCTGTATTTGCATTGGCAACATTACAGACTTGAATAGCACAGTTCTGGGCCTGGAACTTCACACTGGTGTAGACATAGGCTGAACTTTTGTTGGAGATCACTACTTTACCCTCGTTCCATTTCCAATGCAGAAACAAGTTCGACGGGTTTATGAGATCCTAAGACTGCGAGCCACCAACACCCGAGACCGCGCTGAAATGAAAGCCTACAGACTGGACATCAAGAGAAGACTGAATATCCCATTCCAGGTATGGGTACATCTCACTGAAAACGTCTGGCAATCTATTGTAGACTACAGGATTTGGACCCGCAGCTCCTCGCGCCATCACAGGTCTACCCACATTTGATCTTGGAGAGATCTTGTGAAATGAATTTAGATGGCAAACATATTTTACCTGAGCACTTTTGCTATGATGTCATTTCAGAAACTTGTATGCTTATCTTTCGGTACAAATCTTGAACGTAAAACTTTGGCTCAAACAAGCTGTATGAGTTTCCTCATAGACCTACAAAGAAAGAACCATCCCCCACACAATGAAGAAACTTGTGTTGGATCTCTGAAAGTTTTTATCAAGTGCTGTACTTATTGAATGCTTTCTTGAATGAGTATTTCAGCTGGCTTGATTTTCATGTCATTGGGGACAAAATTTTCTCATGGCCTCTTTGCTTTCAGAGCCTCATTTCTTCAAGGAAGACTGAGCACTGATTCCTTTTTATTTTCCCCTTTTTGTCTTTGGTGTGTGTAGAAGCAGAAGTCCGACCAGGAGAAGATGCGTCGGACCCTGAAACCCGAGGAACTGGCCGCAACAATGCAGGGCACCACCTTGCAGGAGCGCCATGAGACACTAGAGAACTGGTACCAGGAACTGATGACGGACTACCGCAGGGTGCTGGACAGATTAGCCTTGGAGTGAAGTCCCCCCCCAAACTCCTGCAGTTGATTTCGTGAAACTGGACGTCAAATTTGCCCTGCAAAATGTACTCATTTCCAATTTCACTAAAACCAGGAGCAGTTGTACAGAATCTGAACATAATCAGGGCTTTCATAATGGTTTTTTGCGCGATATGTCACAATGGTCTCCAAAGAGTCATTTAATTAGCTTTATCCACCATTGGAAGTGTTTCCTTTTTCCTTCTTTGCAAAATTTGCGAGTATAATTGAGCACATTCTCATGAAATCAGCTGCAGGTCAAAAGCTATTAAGATCTGCCTTAGTTATGTTTATTTCCTTTGGAGGAGTGTTGGCAGCTATTGAGGCTACTTTCCCATTTACCCATTTAAAGTGTTCCAAGACTTATGCTCAATTCCGTCTCGAGCTGCAAGTAGATTTTGTCAGTGGGCACTCAGTCAGGTGCCTTTGGATAATCATGGGTCTCAAGGGTTTTCTTAACATCCGTTTGAGTTCAGGTCCGTATTGGACACTCTTGGGATCTGCTGAAACTGTTTTGTTAATTTACAACATATTTTTATGGGTCTTAAAGAGTGAAATCAGTGGCCTTACAGCAATCAGTTACATCAAATGTATACTTGTGTTATTGTAAAACTGTAAGATCAACGTGATGGATACTTTGTTTTATTAAACAGCCAGGACTACTTGTTCATTGAACTGTGACCCCAGATCTCCCAAAGATCTACCATGTGGTTTTGAAGGAATTTGCAGGATTGAGAACCTGCCCGCTACAACTTAGAATAGGGCTTGATTCCCTTAAAGTTTACGTATGGAACAAAACTTGCATTAGTTTTCACTAGAGGAGGCTTTTGGAGAAATCAAGGTTTCAAGGTGTCATTGTCTCGACCTTCAATTTCCATCAACATTTACAATATACATACGTTTAGAAGTGAGTCTTAAGAAGCTATTTCCAAGAATATTCAGATATTCGGTCATACTAGGAAATGCAGAAAATACTCAGCTTTGAACTGTTTTTGAACTTATTTAAGTAAGACATTTGTATTGTTTAAAAACCAAATGTTTAAATATGAAGTTATAACTTCTAATATTTGATTAAGCCATAATTCATGTCTGTTTTTAATTCAAGCATAAGATGCTCGAGGCTGCACATAAAACACCCTTACAAAAAAAAGTGGAGATACAGATTTCTTGTTGGGTTCAAAAATGCTTCTGGATGAAACTACAGAGATGTCTACAGAGAATTGTTTAAATCAAAGGACGGGGAAAAAATGGATTCCCTAGATGTCTGCCATTTATTCCATAGACAACTACAACAAAACTATGTGTATAATAAAAAGAAACAAGCACAGAACTTCTGTCACCCTCTCTTTATTTCTGAAATCTGGAAGCATTTTCTTATTTGAAAATAGTGGATTATTTGAACTAGCAGTTGAGTAACTTACAAGTACCAAATCTGATTTCAGAGTTTCCACGTTAGTAAAAGGAATGTTCAAATGCCATTTAAAATTTTCTTTTTTCAAAAATAAACTTTTTAAGTCGAAAGCCACAGCCATGCATGGGTTAACCACTTCATGCCGGGGCATTTTTCAATGTTGATGATGCTGGGCCGGCATGACTATCATTGACTATCCTTAAAAAATTCATTTCATTTAACAGTCGTTTATAGCG